TTAGAAATTCAACTTTGATTATAATTTCACTATATAGTCATATTACGTCACGACATTGTCGTTCAAGACAAGATGAAAACCATGATAATGCTGAACTTGAAAGAAGTGTATTAATGAATCTAACTTGTAATCCTAGAATTGGATAGCTTTGGGATTGAAGTTCAATCACAAGTTGTACTTGATTAATAAATCCTTGAAATTTGGATCTTGTGCCATCAAACATCTTAAGCAAGGCAAGTCTTGGTTCTCTAATACCTGAAGGATGTTCCACCATAAGAAAAGAGACATGATTGAGTAGAGATGTTGAAGAAATTGCAATCATATCTATATCATCACTTCCTGCTATTCTTATTGCTCCTTATAGTAGTAAATTGAGTTGATGCATTGCAAGCATTAACTCTCTCAATTGCTCTTACATTTATGCCATTGCATTCTTTGTTTTAACAAGCTCTAGCATGATAATACTTAAAAAATAAATATCTAATATTGCTTAAGACAAGTAAAAGAGGGGACTTAAGAACAAAGAAGATAATAAGAACAATATTAGTTTATAAGAAGATAATCCGCAACTTCTAATATGCTTATGTCTTATCAAGAAAAAGAGATAATCTACTCTTAATCAAGAAAAGATAAAGCTCTAATATTGTAAGTGTATTCTTGTCAATCTATCAAGGATATGAATTAGAAGAAGATGCATAAATCTAAAAAATTTGTATTAAAAGAAAAGTAATAAAATAGTAATAAAATAATATGTATATTAAAAAGAAACTAGAAAGGCTATTTCCAAAAGACAAAGAAATTAGAAACTCTTAAATCTAGACTAGAAGCAAGAAAAGAATTGACAAGAATGAAAAAGACTTTACTCTTGCCTCTATATATACTATCTAACTAGGAGCTACGTGGCAATGTTCTATAGAACCTCTAATATGTGTTGACTTTATAAAACACATGCCTTAGCTTACAAGGTAAGTTTTCTATGTGTATGCCATATAGTTAGCTTTTTCTTCAAGCTACCAACATGTGTGGCACATGGCCAACTTGTTGATCATATTTTTAATCTAAAAAGTCAATTAAAGACATTTATAAAATCAAAGCAGTATCTGTAAAGCTCATAAGAAGTTTCCATAGAAGATATTATGGAATTAACCTATTTTTATCTACTATTATCTAAATCATATAGGTAATTATTGATTTACATGTGTATGTCCATAACAATTTCTATTTATTTTCAATGATACAAGAGTATAATAAAGATTTCTTTCTTCAAGATTTGTTTTATTAACAATAGGTTTTGGTCATGATGAATAAGTTTCTATAAATTTACAAGTTGTTGCCATGACTTGACTTGTATCTCTCTAATCAAATCTTTTTTTTAGTATCTTTCAAAAAATTGATTGTTGTATATAATAACTTAAGTAATAAATTGCTTCAATGAAGCTATTCTTGGCATTTTCAATAATAAATCTTTGTTATTATCTTTTAATCCATATCAAAATTAATTGATAAGAGTCTTATCATTCTAATCCATATCGTAAATAATACTTTGGAATTCATCAACATATATGGTGATTGAACATTATTGTGATGCACTTAATTTAAATGCATCAAGTATTCTTAGAAGATAATTAGTTTTACTTATAACGAAGAGGAATATAATACTAATATATATAAAAATTTGAATAGGATTTAGAATATAAGATTGTTTCCTTGAATGAATTATTTGAGCTTTGAGAATATTATCTTTTAGGATACATAATTAATTCTATATTAGTTCAAAGTTGATATTAAAAAAAGATTATGATAGGAATTTTGGCATCAAATAGTTTTTTTTTTTTTTTTTTTTTTTTTTTTTGCTTGAATAGGAGTATATAAGAGGGTGGTCACTAGAATTTTTAGGCGACAAAATTCAAGGCTAGTTTAAGATTTTTTATGCCATTTATTAGATTTTTTTCTTCTTGATTTGAAATTTTGAAAGAAGTTGGATGTCTTTATTAGTTTTTCAACAAGCCTTAGTATACAACAAGAAGAGTTGTGAATAAGGAGATTTATGCAAATTTGTGGAAAGAGGATTATTAGAATTTTTAGGTAGGAAGATTTTAGACTAATTTGGAGTTTTCTATGCCATTTCTTATATTTTTATTTCATTATTCTAAGATTTTGAAGAAAAGTAGATCTTATTGTTGGCTTTTCAACAAGCCTTAAGACACAAAAAAAAAGAACTATGAAAAGAGAGCTTTATACAAATTTGCAGGTAGAAGATTGTTGGAGTTTTTAGGCTGCAAGATTAAAGACTAATTCACGGTTTTTTATACCATTTCTTGTATTTTCATCTTATTTTTTTGAAATTTTAAAAGAAGATAAATCTTGTTGTTAGTTTTTTAAAAAGATTTAATATTTAAAAAGAATAGTTGTCATAAAAAAGATCCAAGCTAATTTGTGGATGGAAGTTTTGATAGTATTGATTGTAGCAAGTAGCCAACTATTTTTTTTCCTTGATTCGGCTCTCATTTTTTCAAAATTTTATTTATTGACTTTAAATTTTTTAAATTTATAGCTTAAATTAAGCTTAATAATTTAAACTTTGTTTAAATTAGATTCATAATAAATAAATTATAGTTATTTTAGTAAAAATAGCTTTATATTTAAAATTAGAATTAGGGATTGGATGCATTTTGGCACAAGAAAGAAATTAATCTAAAATTTGTACTTAATCTTTAGGCTATTCTTTTATATTTGAGTTCATTTGGACAAAATTATACTTCTTACAATTTATTTGCAATGAAAGACCTTGTGTTTTTTTTGAAGAAGCTTTCTTTTTTGATAATATGATTTTTGTTGCAAAGATATAAAATTAGTCTCTATTATTCTTTTTCAATCACTTTTTTCATATTTGGCCATAAAGAACTGTAAGAATGAATTTAAATTATAGAATAGTTGAGAATCATTTTCTATCAAAGGTGCAAATCAAGAAAGAGCATTTCAAAAGAAAAATACATCTATAAATCCAACTTAAGTAAATCTATCAAAGTATTGAGAAGGATGCAATCTAAAATAGAGCTTTATTTATTATAGAAATCCTTAAAACTTTGATCTTATTCCATTAAACTACTTCAAAATATTTATCTTTGTCTCTCTTATATTTGTAGTAGTAAGACTTTTTAAATTTAGTTGTGAACTTGATCTACTTATTTCTCTTAATTGCACAATTTCTTGGCATAGACTTTGAATTTTATTCTTCACCTCTTTCATAGATATTGGAATATTATCTTCATAGTTGATGTTAGAAATATGTGATATTTTTATCTTAAGAATATAAAAAAGTTCTTAAAGATTTGCAATGGTTACAAATCTATTCTTTCTTTTTATGATAGTAGCATCCATAATTTTTCTTCTGTAGACAACTCAAAATAAATCTATAAGTCAAATTAGAAGAAATTAATTTATAAATCCTAATACTAAATAAAAATTCTACAAAAAAGGGTAGTTCATTTTTTTTAAAGAAAAAATTATTATTAAAGAATTAAAATATTAAATTAAAGGTAGATAGTTCATAACCTTTAAAATACAATAATAGAAGTGGAATAGTTGACTTACTTCTAAAAACAAAAAAAGAACAATGAATTAGCACTCTTATCAAATTGTCAAAGACATGAATATTTAAAAACTAAAAAATTAATATACTCTTGTGTCACTCAAAAAGATTAAAAAATCATTCAAAGATGGTATGATATTAAATTCAAATAAATATTGCCAAAGACAAAAAGATTAAAAAAAAATCAAACAAGACTAAGAACTAAAAAGATATTAATAAGATTAAAGAAGGCTTCACTCTTACCTTCATATATATTATCTAACTAGAAGCTATATTTTAACATTTTCTAGGACCTCTGATAAGTACTCAATTTGCAAGATGATATCATTTGCAAAATAACTAATCAAGCCATTGAGATTGTGACAATCTTCAAGATGATGTAATAAAAATGACAATCTTCAAAAATAATATATATTTTTTTTAATAGATGATGAGATTCAATGTGTTTGATATTATGACCTTAGAGGAGACTTTTTGTATTTGGTGATATTATTGAAAAGAAGAACCACTCTTGATGTTCTTTTAAATATTTTAATTGAAGGAAGTTACAAAGATGTCAATAATAATCAAATATTAAGGTTGTCTTTTTGCCCTAGTATAGGATACTATTAATAATTAAAAGGACCTATTAATTTCTTTTGAAGAAAAAAAAGATCATAGCATGTAAAAAATATAATTTGATGCAACTTGGACTTGTTAAATATGTAATCACTATTCCTTGTAGAACATGTTCCCAAAAAAAAGAGGAAGAAAATAACATTATGGACATGCATATTTATATAGATCAATTAAATAGAAGTAAGTACAAGTTAATAAATTTGATAATACCTTGTAGAGAAGCTTTTTTCTTGACAAAAAATTGAACATTACATGGAATTTCTTAAAGCCTTTTCCTAAAAATCACACTTGTCATATGATGGGTCAATTTTACAAAAGAGTAGTTTTATTTAACAATTTTCTAAATTATTTTTAATCTTATGCTATATATGCTTTTTCTAAAGAATATTTTTCCATCTTAGAACACACAATAAAAAAAATAAAAAAATAAAAAAAACATATTGGAAATGTAGAAGACACTTTAATACGAAGCTGAAAAAGAGGAACAACGGATGAGAAACATCAATGAGAAACGTAACGAGGAACATGGACGATAAAGACCGATGAAGATGGATGAGGAACAGGAATGTACAGATGGCAGTTGGGACGTGAGAAGGCCACACGGCGTAGGCAGCCCTGGGGGGGGGGTGGACGCGGGGGTAGAGAGGTGGTGGTGTCACAGTTGCACCGCGCGGGGCCTCTCCCTGCGGCTATGGGGCGCCCACCCTCCCTCCCTCCGCGACTAGGGCGAGGCGAGACTGTCCTCGGGGTGGGCGTCCGTCGGGGACTCGGAACAAGCCATGTTGCTTCCCTAGGCCAGGCTTGGATCCATTCCTTCGAGGCTGCTCTGTATCATTCTCTCCTCCTCCACCTCCTCGGAGAGGCTCTGTGTGTTCGTGTGTGTGGGGAGCCTGCAACTGGGCTCCGTCTCTTTCTTCCTTTCCTTCCTTTCGTTCCTGCTTGCTTGCTCGCTCTCTGCCTCCCCCTGCCTCTCCCTCTCTCCATTGTCCCTTGCAATTCTCATCTCTCTTGCTCCTCTCTAGTCCTCTTCTCCTTAACTCCCCTCGTCGACTCCATCCCCACTTGCCCCCCACTTCTCCAGTGCTGCTTTCACCGTGCCTTTCTCGCGATCTCAGATTTGCTTTGTGAGTGCCTCTCCCTCCTCCCCAGCCCGCTCCCCCTTACCCTCCTCTTTCTTTTTATGCGGTTCTTGTGAATTGGGCATTTCGCAGGACGGTCCTGTGCTCTTGGGTCATCCAGTGGTCGCCAGGAATGCAATGTGATTGAGCTGTCGGGATGCGTCGTTCGTTCCCACTTTTTAGCTTGCGAAATTGGGTTTTGCTTTTTTCCGAGGGTTCACGATTCGCTATTGGTTTAAACGGTGACAACTCGCAGCTCTCTGATGGAATTGCAGTGATTGGGAGTTTCCGCATTTGGAATCCCCTAATCCATCACCTCCTTAGTAACAGAGGAAATCTGCCAATTGCTGAATTTCGCTTCGTTTGTCCATTCCTAGTGCCACTGCCCACTGCTACGTCTTAATTTTGGTTTCTTACTGCTGCAATTTTGTGGGATTTGCAATCGCGCCGGGGATAGGATTTTTTTTTTTGTTTTGTTTTGTTTTGTTTTGTTTTTTTTGTTTTTTTTGTTTTTTTTTTTTTGAGGTTTGGCTTCAGCTTTACAATTTAATGCTCAGTTCTAGTTTCTGGCTCTGAAATGTATATATCTATTAACAGGATTGAAACATTGCGTCGTGGAAACGCCGTGGCTGTGGAGACTAGTATCTTTTGGATCGAGCAGTAGTTTTGAGTTTGAGCCTCTGGAAATTCGTGGTTACGATGATGATTCAGGGCATTTGAGATATGGCCTCTATGATGTCCGGTCCCACCCACATGGAAGAGATACATCCGATTCTACCTAAATTCAGCTTACCGATTAGCAATACTAGATAGAACAGCCCTTATATTGTTGGCAGTAAGCGCAGTTCACGAGATTGCGGTGGGGAAGTTCGCCGCGTATTTGTGTGGATGCTTATGCCATCGTGGTGAGTAGCTGGTATGGTGCAGTGCTCTTCTTGAGAGCGAAGTGGGCGTTCATTCTGCGGACATGTGTGTTGGCTGTAGGAATTTCGAATGCCTTTGCATTCGACGTTAGATGTGCGAATAGGGTTTTGTTGATTGTTTAGGGCGAGTGGGAAGGCGGTAGAGGAGCACCGCAGCTGCGAATGTTGCTGTCGCATTAAATTTGTTCACAATTTTTATCAGATGTTCGGAAAAGGAACGGCTGTCTTTCGCGTAGTCAAATGATTTCGTATTGGCGGATTGGAACGTCAACCGATAATGGGAGTTGAGGGTGAGGCAAGTGTGGGGGTCAGGTGGACATTTCTGGTATTCATGCATGTATTGGAATGCCAGTACGAACAATGGATATATGTAATGTTTATATAAGCAGGGTTTGGTTGCGCAATGGTGCATTGCTAATTCGTGGCAACGTACGTCCCATTCTATGTGTATTCTCTCTTTGGTAACCTGAGTTTGATGGCGATCAACTTTGCTTTATGTTCGCTGGATTTGATAATACCGTCTTTGGGCCTTTTGCTGAAGAGTTTCTTGTGTTCCATGTGTTTCAGTGGTTGACCACACGGCCTCCATGATTCTTTAGTGACCGTCTAGTTGGAATTACATTGACTGTACCATTCAAGTGAATACGCACGTACACACACACACACACACACACACAGGTATATATATATTTATATATATATATATATATATATATAACGAAGAGTGAAGCATTGAGCAAGAACTTCGCCAGAAGAGGTCATGGAGGGTGCTGTAGAATTAGGGACTCAGTCGGAGAGATGTGCTCGAGGGGATAGTGAGCCGGAGCCAGTGTTGGAAGTTGACTTATCTTCGCGAGTTAATTCTAGCGAGGTCATAGTGGAGAATTCTGATGATGCTACAGTGCCCAAATTTAGTGATCATCAATCAGGGATATCAAGCTGTCCAACATCCACGCGCTCTCCAATTGAGACGGACCTCTCGCTTGGTATTGTGGGGCAGTTAGAGAGATCGCATGATGCCTGTGATGGGCAACAAGACTCGAGGAAAAGTCCCGATGAAGATGCTAGCGATTCAGAAAACTGTACACAAGCTGGCAGGAATGGTATAGAAGTTAGGGATACTCTGTTGAGTTTGCAGATTCGAGTGAGAGATCTTGAAATACAGTTAAAAGATCGCATTGATTGGGCACAGCAGAAAGTGATGCAAGCTGCTCAAGCAGTGAGCAAGGAACGACAAGAATTGAATGCTGTTCGTGCAGAGCGTGATGAAGCGTTGCGGTTCAAGAAGGAGCAGAAAGCTGTAGAAGAAAGTGCACTTAGGAAGAAAGCTGAATTGGAGACGGCCCTCAGGAAAGCTAGTGCAGAAGTGCGCAGATTAGAAACTGAAAATGCAGAGGTTAGAGCTGAAATGGAAGCAGCCAAGCTCAGTGCTGCTGAGTCTGTTGCCATATATCAGGAAGTTGCCAAGAGGGAAAAGAAAGGTGCCAAGAGGGCGCAAGGTTGGGAGAAGCAGAAAGCTAAACTGCAGGAGGAACTCTCGGAGGAAAAAAGGAAGTTGGCTCAGTTGCAGCAGGCACTTGCTCAAGCCAATGAGCGACACCTGCAGGCTGAGGTAAGTTCTATAGGTGTCTGCTCTAATGCTTCCTTATCCTCCAAATTCGGTTGCCGGGATCCTTCCTGTTTTCATTTGCAGCATTTGGCGTTCTCGGAACAGCCCGTGATGATCATTCCACAGAACAAAAGATCATGTGCAGGAGAGGATGAACTTTTTCATTTTCAGCCTGAGTCTCTTTCAACAAAGTATTAATATGTTTGCAACAACTGGCTCTGGGTTTCCTTTTGCCTTCAACTTGGTTTGTTTCCGTGCTCGTAGGTAAGGTGGAGGCAAGAAGAGAAAGCAAAAGAAGAAGCTATCGCTCGTGCAGACAAGGAGAAGAGGGCGAAAGAGCAGGCAGAAGCTGCATTTAAGAGACGGGAAGAAGTTACACGAAGGAAAGTAGAACAAGATAAGCAGCGGCTTCGTGACGATGTTGAACGGTTAACCCAGGAATTGTCCACTTTAAGAGCGACAGGGTCTCACAATTTCGTCAGTGCAAGTTGGAATTCCCCTGCTGCAACAGTAGGAATGATGGGCGGACGGATCGGGCAGAAGGAGATTGAGAGACTTGTTCGAGAAGTAGCGGATCTTGAGCAGGACTTACTTCAGAGGTTGTTGTCTAAGATAACTATGTTCGTATTATTCCAGGAGTTACAGGCTAGAATGTTTTAGGATCAGGCCATATCATTGTCTGGCTATTGTTTCTCGTCTTCTAGAATGTCTCTAGGATATTTTGTGTTTTGCTTTCATTACATTCATCTCTAATTTGCAGGTTCAGATGTAGCCGCCAAACCTCGTGTCAATTAATTCTGCTTAACTCTCTTAAATTGGTAAAAAGTTCAATATAGATTTTTAACTCTTAAAAGTTGTAATGAACATCAGAATGGACTGCAATTAGGGCGGAGCACAAGATTACGATACTAGGAATGATGCTCATACTTTAGGTGATTGCTAAAATATAATGGCCTTCTGCTTGTGCAGGGATGTGCGGAGGGATCGCGAGTGTGTGATGTGCATGTGCGAGGAAATGTCAGTAGTTTTCATGCCGTGTGCCCACCAGGTGGTATGCATCAAATGCAACGAGCTTCATGAAAAACAGGGCATGCGGGATTGTCCTTCTTGTCGAACGCCTATTCAACAACGCATTCGTGTCTACGGTGCTAGCTCCTAGCCTATATCGACTAAGGAAATCCCTATCGATGAAACAAATCAGTTCTGGGTCTTGCCAGACACGTCTCGTTTGGTGGGGAGATTTTGTCCAGGAATATTGTATGTCTTACGGAGCAAGCTTGTTGCCCTTTGGTTGCAAAAAGAAAAGCTAGTAACTAGCAGAACTGGCAAGGACCTTGCGCAGCTTACTGTGATCATAAGATTTTGTACTTGGGTTGTATGTTGGCCACCAAACATAATGGATTGTAAAAGTATGTGAGTTCCTATCTTGGCCAACGTCTTTTCAGGCACATGTTGCATGTGTCATTCTACAAAGTGTGGAACTATGTGCTTGTATTGTGCTAAAGATTCTCGAGGGGTGGATGAAGTTAAACCGCAAGAGTGACCCAAGAGAAAGTTGTTTGTTTGTTCGGATTTGAAAGAGAAGTATTGGATTTGTTTAGGAGAGATGTGGAGTTCAACGGTTGGATTGAGCATTTGCTTATCACGTATGGCGTACGTTCCACTAAGTGTTTGTATCTCTAATCTTCGTTTGAAGATGCTATAATCCCACTTTGCGGGTCTATGCTGATTTTTAACATTTCGCATACTACGGCATAAAGAAACGCATCTCGTCGATGATGTGCCGCAGCAGTGTTAACGTTAACGCCGGGGTCTATGGGAACACACAGATATGCCCTTGAGGTCAATGGTGAATTTGTGAGCCCTTAATACAGTATTTACGTGACAAGTTGTTCAACCGTAATGCTGATCCGCAGCGGCCCCATTTTTGTGCAGATCAGATGCCCAGGGCATTTATAAAAAGTCAACAAAAAGGCCGCATGGATGGAATTATTCAGTTACCGCTAATGACACACGTAAGTTCCGTAAAAATGGAAGGAGAATCAGCGCATGTGACGGAATGATCAATTATAAGAAATCATCGGTTCAGATCGGTAATGTGCTGCGGTAGGTTACAGAAGGTCGTGTACATTTCCGCATCGATTGTGCAAACTAAAGCTTCTACGAACACCGGCGGTAGATTCAGAGCGACTACCCAGTCAAAGCAACAAGGCCGGCTTGCTTCACCTGTGTGCCTATAAATACGTCTCCTCTAATGAGAATTGACTGGTGAAGTGTATCATTTTGAGAGTCTAAATTCACCACTCTATCCTATGGGGCTTCACCTTCCAGCATCCTGTGTGTGTTCTCGCTGAGTCTCTGCTCCATTTCCACCATAGTTTCTAGACCTTTCCGTAGAAGCTGTATGTGTAGTACGGCTGGTATCTGTGGTGTGTTCAAGTTTCTTGAGCAGTTTCGGAGGACTTCGATACAAGATTGAGGTATTAGCTGAAGCCGAGAGAGAATTGGTGTTGAACTAGAATTATGTTTTGGGGAACTAGTTGATTGTAGTGTTTAGCCTCGCAACGAGTTCGGCACTTGATTAGCTCAGGTCCTTGCGCTTCAAGCGTCTGTTGGTAGGCAGTAGTCTTCGAATTGAGCAGCCCCAACAATTTGAGCATCTGAAATTTCATGCTGCAGGATGCACTGGAGCTCCTGGAACGGTGGCTATAATCTGTGACCTCGGAACCTTGAGGAGGATATCTATATTAATATAGAAATAAGTTCAGCGTCGCCTTGCCTCAACTTCGTTAGTTGATCGCACCACTCAAGGTCAGAGTGACCCCTTGTTGCTGCCGGCTGCTAGGCTCCATGACCCAGCTCTGCTGTTGTGTTTGTGTAGTTTCGCTTGTTTAGTGACGAGAATTGCGAACTCATCTCTGCGAACTCAGCAAGCACGCGTATACGTTGGCGCTAATTGAAGTTGTTTCTTATTGCCATTTTAGCTTGGAAGGAGTGCCAATCTTCCGTCGTGAGGTGGTTCTCATGTAGGGATGGTTGCCAGGATCGTATGGGTGCAGTTTTTGGTCTGCTTAGTGCACCAATTCGTGGTTGAATTGTTGAGAAGTTCAATCTCTACGACAAACTAGTGTAGTAAACAGACCCTATACATGGCCCCGTTAATACTTTGCTTGATATTGCTCGATTTTATGCAGTGTACGACATGAAGGTGCTTTAACTCTAGTCATATTTGTGTCTTGCCAGCCTAAAGCTTTCGCAGGATCTAAATCTTCACATCTGCTCTGCTCTTACTCCAGGTGCTGACAAATTCCTACGCCATCTTGATTTTCGCGCCAGACGCTGCACCTCCTGATCAGGCGTTGTTGCACAAAATCCTCCCCATTCGTAGAATATTACTTTCGAACTCTTTGTTTCCACCTGATACATCGCAAGATCCGTGAGAAGGCTAAATGGAGAACCAAGAGGTACAATGGCATTGATTTTTTACATTCTGTTATGAAAGTATGATCTTTAGACGTATTACCCATGTATTCGACTCATCCATCTTCTAAAATTCAGTGGACCAATGCTTTGGTGAGCCTTAATAATTGCATTTTAGACGCCAGGGACTTTGCTGCTCTGCCATGTGGACGATCTCAAACTTCATCAGGCTTCGCACTGGAATGCATTGATCCACGAAATCCACACAAGTTTACATGTTATCTTTCTTGACAGGGAAGAACATAGTTCTGTCATGGACCGACTAATCTCGCGCGTCTGCTCATTGCGCAGGTATTCACTTACTACACGGGAGGTCCTCCTCCGAATTGGTTGGATAGGGATTCATGGTATGCCCCAGTTACGGTGGCCCCAGCTGAAACAATGCCGGTAAGTAAATCCAAATCTGCAATTAGTGGTGAGATTATCTTTTCTTCAGGCCGAGTCAGAGCATAAACTGGTCATGTTAGTGAATGTGGGCCTCCCCAAGTCTATCTGAAGGTTTTCTGTAGATCATGTAGAAATCGTCTAGTAGAATTTTTCATTTGCTCTTCCGACATCACCTGGTGTAGTCGAGAAGGTAACAATACTAATTTTCTTTTCGGGGAGGCATGTGGCGGAAGGAGTTGAATCCGGGGCCAACAGCGTCTCTAAAGAAGAAGACGTGCATTTGGAAAATTGTGTTCCCATTTTTCATAGAATTGAGTTTTACACGTGGGACACAAATTTGATTTTTAAAGATGGAATTTTGTGCCAATTGCGCGTTGCAGCCGGTTGGACTGAGGAAGCTGGAGTTGAAAGTGGACATGTGTTGCATGAAATGTGCGGAAATTGTGTCGGAAGAAATCAGAGAATTACCTGGTACGTAGCACGACAACGGACCCCTAGCTAGGTCGGCAGAAGATGCTCGTAAGTGGAGTAAAGTGTGTTGGCGTTCGTCGAGGACTCATTATAGATATGGACAAGGCATTGATTTTGTGTGAGCGATGTGCAGGAGTGCTGGATGTACAGGTGGACTACAAGCTCAAGAAAGTGACAGTGATTGGGATGCCATTCGAACCTGATGTGCTGAAACGCGCGAAGAAGGTGGACAAGAAAGCACATTGGTGGCCTCCGCCAGCGCCCGAACCTGCACCCGCACCCCCTCCACCTCCCCCACCCGCACCAATAATAGTTCAGTGTAACTGCACCTGCAAATGTAAGCTGGAGGATCCCCCCAAGGAAGAGAAAAAAGAGGATGAGAAGAAGGAAGAAATCAAGGAGGAAAAGAAAGAGGAGGAGAAGAAGGAAGAGGAGAAGAAAGAGGAGAAGAAAGAGGAGGAGAAGAAGGAAGAGAAGAAAGAGGAGCCCAAGAAGGAAGAAGAGAAGAAAGAGGAGCCCAAGAAGGAAGAGAAGCCTGCACCACCACCACCAGCTCCTGCCCCTACACCACCAGAGCCCCAACCGAGGATATTCCCCCCCTTTGAATACAATGTGGGGAACTTCCCCATGTATGACTACCACCCCAGCCAAGCCTACAACCCTCTCCTCCCTTACAGCCCTTACCCTTACGCGCGCCCCATCTACTACGATTGGCCCCACTTTCGAACTGCAGAAGGCGCTGGGGCTGCGTTTCTTCCACCTCCCAAACCCAGTGCTTACCAAACCGTCGGGGACTTCTGGAACATTTTCCAACCTCCGTAAAGAACCACCCCGTTTCCCTCATTCTCACCTTCCTTTGTATATGTTTACACTGATATAGTTGGTAGTTTTGTTCCGTAGACTTGATCAGCTTTCCATTGTGTGGTGTGGTAGGAGATCCAATCTCGTAAACTGGAGAGTGGTTATTCCTAGTTGGAACCTTTGAGGCATTATGTCCCGGGTGGCCACGCTTGAATCTTGTACTCCTAGTTCTATGTGGGTTTGAGCAATAGGGGAGGGAGGTGACTTGATCCAACTGAGGTCTACCTCTTTGCGAGCTTGGTCTTCCCTGCTATGTACTGGTTGTACCTGACATTAGACAGAAGCTGGAGAGCCGGATTTAATTGTTTAATTGGCCGATTCTTGAAGAAAAAAGCCAAAAAGAAAAGAAAAAGAATTAATGAGTCTTTGCTATGAAAGGCAGGACCGACCTCAACATCATTAGGGCGGTGGTGTAAGTTTCCTTCGCAGCCAAAGGTTTTGGAACCTCTACTTCACCTGTGTGCTCATGGTGCAGAGCCAAGCTTTTAATATATTTTTCCCAGTTCGTACCCTTGGTTTGACCTCTTCGCAGCTGTTCTAAGAAAGGCAATAGACATGGAAAAATTGCAGTGGTATGTTGACGCCTTTTTCTTGAAAAAAGCTGAAAGGACCAAAGACCTCTTTGGGACCACATTCTGATCACCTACTTTTATCTCCTACTTCAGGTAGTATAGTCACTTCAGAATAACTAGAGCCAGATGTTATTGCATCTTCAGGGAGACTATTCTCCTCGTATGTCTTATGGAAAGAACCAGGGAGCTAATTATAGTTCCATGTAGGCCACAGTATCCTCCAGTCACAGCAAGGAGTTTGTGTAGGTTATTTAGGAGGAGAGCACCTGGCGGCCGATGTCGTAAATCAAAAGCCGTATCTGAAACGCGAAGATTATTGAATCAAGAAGAACCCAGCCTGGGATGTGTGTAAAAAGAATTACTTGCGATAATATGCAACAATTTCTGGAAGAGGTTTTCTTCCAACCTTGTGGGAAATGAACTGGGGGTGATAGAGAGGGTGTGTGACTGGTGGATGGGAAGGCTTGCGTGCATTGTAAGCTGTGGAATCGAGCTGGGGCACCGACAAAGGTGGCGAGGATGTAGTGTTCCATGGCTCCGTGCTGACTGGGCTTGTGGCGTGACTCTGGCTGGACATTGCGTTGCTGCTGCTGTTGCTGTTGCTGATGCTGCTGTTGTTGTTGTTGCTGGGTGTGTTGTTTTTTTCGTGTGGCTGTCATGGCTCGTGTGTAGCTCCCAAGCAAACTGACAAAGTCGCCGCTGCACCGCCTCGTGGATTTTCCGCCCCAGCCATGCGTGATTTGTTGAAGCCACCCCAGCTCCAGCTTTGCTGCTCCTGCTCCTGCTCCTCCTGTGCTTCTTCTGCTGCCCCACCATAAGCATCCGAGTCTTGGAGCTGACTGTGTGTGTGTGTGGACAAGCTCTCCTCTCTTGCTCCAGGTTCGATGACCCATGCAAAAGCAAAAAAGCACAAGTGGGTCACGCTTCATTCCAGCCATAAGAATGTGGATTACACGAAGTTGCATGCCAGGGACAAGTCTCTACCATTACCGCCTACTTCTAGATAGATGCCTTTTTTGCATTAATCATGATTAGTATCATTGTATTGTCCATGTAACGGTGGAATCCCAAGCCTGTACTAAAAAAACGTTTCATATCCTGAAGGATATTGTCAAAAACAAAACAAAACAAAATAAAAATAAAGAATTATATAACAATAAGTAAAACAAGTGCCTGCCACATGATCTGTTCGTGGGAGAAGCGAAACTTTGAACTTGAAAAATACTTTGAATTGTTTGAACGTTTTTACATTTCAATGAGTAACCAATTGTTCTCATTTATGGCTGGAAGTTGTTCAAATGCGTTTTGAGTTGAGACTAGATTTTGTTTTTAGAAATTTGACAAAATCGATTCTGTATCCAATCATAAAATTAGACTTAAACTTCACATCTTATTTTAATTGAGAAGAATGTTTTGCCAGCAAGTTAATTTTGTAATGTATATTATGTTCTGGTATGAAAAATATTATGCATGATATGAATATTCAAAAACTAAAGTTATTTTTTATGATGTTTTGTAAACAAAATTATTCTGAAACATAAATACATTGAACCAACATTACATTCAAAGCATGGTAAAGGTTATGATGAAGTATTCATCATATTAAAATTATTAAATATTATCTTAAACATATGATAATTATTAAATATTATCTTAAACATATGAAACAATACCTATTTATTTTAAAATTATCTTAAAATTATTAAATATTATCTTAAACATATGATAGGTATTGTTTCAATTGTTTTATAATTTTTCACTAATTTGATAAAACCATTTGAGAGATGAATTGATAATCTTTTAATTAGTGTGCATAATTATTTTTATTATACAATGCTATAAAAAGATTAGTAAATCACCACACTTGTACAGACTTTCACAGATCATTTAAAATAAAATCTAAGCAAAAGATATTTTTTATTTCCTCTTTCTCCAATATTTTTTTTGATATTTTCTTTAAAATATAATTGATTTTCTTATTTTCTAAAATAACATGTAAATTTACCTATTTGAAATTAGTTTAATACATCTAAGTTAAATATCATCTTTTAGAAGGTTAACATGATATGACTATACTTTATTATTCGTATAAAATCTAACGTACGGATTAGAAAGAAAATAATAATAAATTCTTTATATAAATTTAAGATTTTAATTTTATTCATATATATAATATTTATAAATTTTGATACTAATTTCTTTCATTTATCTTTATATATATATATATATATATATATATATATATATGATTATATAAATTTAATCTAAAAAAATTATTATTCATTAAAAAGAAAATTTATTTTTTTATTTTCTTCAGAAAAGAACTTATTGTTATTTAATGTTTTTAATTTCACTATTACATGACTTGTCAATTCTCAATGAATAATTCCTATTTAATTAAATATTATATTAGAATTTTAGAATTTTTAAAATAATCTACTAACTTAGACCTATTTTTATTTGCATATTTACAAATTCAAATAGACAAACAAGTAGTATTATGTAAAATTATACTAATAAAAAATTTGATTTTTTTAATATCTATACTTAAAGTTCTAGTACTTTTTTAATATTATTTATTTCTTTTTCTAAATTTTCTATTTATGATTTATAGATGCAATAATGGAATTTTTATTTTTTCATAAATCATACATATATATATATATATATATATATATATATAAAAAGTATTTGTATACTAGACTAGTTAAAAATTATTAAATAAAATTATTAAATAAGTAATTTACTCTAAAAAAATTCTATTTTTTATACTTACTAAGAAAAAGACATAGAATAACAAATGTTAGATATTTTATGTGACTAGTTATTTAAAAATTCTCATAAGTTTTTAGGATAGAAAGATGATTTTACTAACTTTAAATTATCACATCTTTTTCTTATTATTTCTATTCTTGCATTCTTAAGAAGTTAAAAACAATACATGACAATCAAAATTGAATATAGAAATAACATTGGTTCTAGTTACACTCTTATAAATGCAAGTCTTAAATTTGTTCCAACTAGAATAAGTCTCATGTATTTTCTAATCATGTCACTTTTAAATATATCATGGTTAATATAGTTTCTTAAAATACAACAATTGGAACTAATTTATGTTCTATTTATTATTAAAAACTAATTATTTTTAAATGTATATATATATATATATATATATATATATATATATATATAAAGAAAAAAAAAAGAAAGAGCATATTTATAATTAAATTAATTTTATAAATAATTAAATAATTAAGTATAAACTTATTAATCAAATATTGTATATCCTATGCTACTAATAAATATAATATGACACTTTATTCTTATGTTGTTAAACTAGTTATTAAAGTATTCAAATATATTATTTTTTATTAAGCTAAAATCTATATAATATCAACATAAATAATATCTATAATCTTATAAATATCTAAATTACTATATTCTTGAGAATTTTGGTTATTTAATCGATATTATTTTTATCTATAGTCAATTCTTACATTTTTAAGTATCTATTGCATAAAAATCAAAGAAATTAGCAAAATATGAATTTATTAAAAATATCATAAATTATATAAAATAGATAATAATAAGGCTACACATAATATAAGTTCTAATATAGTCATTTTTACATTACAAAAAATGAATCAATATATAATTATATATTATCTAAATTTTGAGTAAATTTAAATTATAATTTTATAAAAAATTATATAAAGTTTAAATCATAAAATAGATTGAATTGGTTTATATTGCATTATAATTCTTTTAAATAACTAAATATATAAATTTAAAATTAAAAAAAATCTCTCTAAAAAATTAATATTTTATATTTTCTTTAAGTGTAAATATTATTGAAGAAATAGAACTTTAAAGTTACAAGACATAGCATCAACAAGATTGTATGCAAAGAAAGTGTAGAATAAGATATCTCTCACTTCCATTATCTATTACTTATAAATAATGGCCACTATTTTAATGGATAACTTCCATCCTATAATGAATAAATCCATCTAATATTCTATCAAGACTATCCATTAATATCTTTTCTATTATACAGATATACCTTTAACATATCTGTAAAATCATTTGTCCATTCATCTATCTTATCTCTTGATCTTTTTACATACCAAGAGCCAACACTTTGACTAATAAGAATTTATTTAAAGTAATATCTTTTATAATATAACTAATTTTACTTTCATTTTTACTTACTTATTTTTACAATTCCACTTTGCTATTGATCAAAGGCTTCCAATTCTAATCCTTTTATCAACATTTAATGTCTATCCTTTATTAATGTCTTTATCAACAAATTCGAAAGCATGTCTTTTGTTGTAGAATATTTCATATCAATTAATCTCATTTCATTCTTCTATCTTATAAAGTAATGTTGAATGCGAATGTATTTGGTCCTTGAATGATGCTTTCAATTCTTTGCAATTGCAAGACATCCTTGATTATTACATTCAATTAGAATTTTTTTTATTTCCACTACTTTAATGTCCTCCAAAAGTTATCTTAATCATATTGCTTCCATTGTACCATAGCTTGTTGCCATGTACTTAGCCTCCATTTTTAACCTTGAAATTATTAGTTATATCTTTCAATTCCATGAAATAGCTCCCATTTCAATAAAGAATACATATCCTATTGTCGATCTTCTATCATTTGCATCTCCAATCCAATTCACATTACAATAACCATGCAAAATAATGATATTTCTTTCAAGGCACAATTTGAAATGTAAAATATTTTTTAAGTACATCATGGTCCTTTTTATGATTGTCAAATAGATTGATCCAATCTTTGACAAGTGTTGACTCACAACATTCACTACATATGCAAGATCCACCCTTGTAGCAACCATTGCATACATAAGTGAGCCTATTGATGCCTTGTATAGAACACCTCGTATTTGACCTTCAAATTTAGCAAAGTCCTCATCCGTGAACTTTAACTTCAAATTTGCTTCCAAAGTTGTTCCAATTAGCTTACATTCCTCCATATTAAATCATTTCAACACTTCTTTAATGTACATGCTTTGATTCATTGTAATATTCTTCTTAGCACAATCTCCTATAAACTCCAATTCTAAATAATACTAAATTTCTTCCAAATCACTTTTTTCATATTCCTTTTCTAACTTTGCCTTCAATTAATTTATAAACTTCAAAGTATTGGTTAAGATGATCAAATCATCAACATAAAGGATGATAATCAACATGAATTCATTTCAGTGCATCACATAGATAGAATGATCATCTTTACTATTTTTAAATCCTTCATTCACAAAAAATGTCTCAATACATAGGTATCATGTCTTTGATGATTACTTGAGTCCATACAAAGATTTCTTCAACTCACAAACAAAATTTTATTTTCCTTCTT